CCCGGAACTGCTTCCGTTTACAACAGTGAGCGCAAGCTAGATTAAATTGATTATTACGTTTTAAATATGGTTATTTTTCTTACAAAAACGCTTCGATTCACTACAGGAGGCCTTTGTTCACCCCCGGAGCCATGTGAGACACTTTTTTTTATGGATGGGCACTTTTTATTTCACTTCTTTTGGACTGAAGCACTGCAACACCCGCTGACTGCAATGATAGAGCTTGGAATAGCCAGGACAATTTTTAATATAACTCCGACTGGATTCGTCTGAAAGAAGAAAGTCATATACACCTAGGATGCCTCGGGGGTGAGTAAAACACAGCCTAATTTTCTTTTTTGGGTGAACTAACCCTTTAACACTAAATGTTCGTAGATCAGGAAGAAGGAGGCGGGAACTGGCCAACATTTAAACATAAAACTTTAATAAACAAATGAACAAACACAAAACGAAAGTAAAAGCGGCAGCCCCTCACAGACGACTGCTGCGCGGCATGTATAAAACTTTACGTAGATTTCATCCTAAATGTGTGCGTACGCACAAAAACTAGATTTTGCGTACGTACAAAAGTTTTCAGATTTATAAATCCATGCTGTGACGAGAGGGGCGGGGCTGAGAGCTGTGGGAATAGAGCGAGGCCGGTGGAGTACATGCTAATGCGCGACACCTGCGCCACTCACCGGTCTCGAGTCCCACGGAGGAGCTCCGGAAGGATAAAAGGAGGAGTGACGACAGTGTTGGACGAGAGAGGACCAGGCCTGGATTTTATTTTGTGTTTTGGTTCTGTTTGTGCGCGACAGTTGTCCGCGAGGGGCTGTCGCGCTGTTTTGTGTTTATTTTAGTTTGTTTAAATGTTCGCTGGTTCCCGCCTCCTTCTTCCCGTGACTACGAACTGTGTTACACATGCGTACGCCAGAACCTGCACAAAATTCCCTTTGTAATTCCCAGTCAGCGGAAGATTGTACATACATAAATCTCCACCCCGTCTCCTCTCCTCCCCGAAATAGCCATTTATGGAGCTTACAACGCCTAGTATAGATAACATATAATTTCCTTGCATATTCCCATCCAAGTGACACCATGTTTAACGCAGTTAAGGGTAGGAATACGTTAGGAAAATAAGAGATACGGACTATAAATGCGTTTTGAGACATCACTATTCTAATTTATGCAATTTGCCTAAAAGGTAAACATATATTTTAGAATGTTTATAGCCTATATTTTTATGGAAATAGATAGGCCTTATTTTTTGCAGTGTAAATAGCTGCCTGACTCAACGCGTCAATAACAAAACATTTTGGAAAAAAAATGCACATATCTGTTTCCTTAAAAAAAAACTTTTAAATATGGTGTTTGACACAATATTGGGAAGAGCACGAAAGGGGTTATCATTAGGCTACTGTCTGTGCACGACACCTGTGAACAGAGGCTCTACTGTCATTGGACCAATGGACTGTTTGATCAATGAGCGCATCCTTATGTCTGTCGTTACCGTCTATGTTCCAAAGCCATCAAACAAAGTCAAGTTCACAAAAAGGATCCTTATTATTCGCGCAAAAGTATTTTCTCAGAACATGAGTTTTGCTATTTAGAACACGGAAGTGGAATTGTCATGCGCCAAGCAATCCTCGCTGTGATTAAAACATTAAATCACATACCACAGGAAAATTGTTCGAAAGCAGCACATCCACTGCAAATATTTCTGTTAAAATTCATATAAAAAATGTTGTAATTTCTGGATAATAATTTCATTAAATTTCTTAATCCCTTTCTCTACCCATGACGCACAAAAGATTGTAGAAAAACATCAAGAATACAGCCTTCAGTGCATTCTACCAATGGACTAAACGGTCCCACTGGGGCTTCTGTAATGCCCTTGTGAGCTGCTGATGGGGTGTTTTGAAGAAGTGCAGTCACAGAGGAAATAAGAAAAACCCATTATAATAGAGACAACAGTAAACTCTTTTTGACCACAGAGAAAATAAAAATGTCAGAGCCTTTAAACTTCATGTCTCATTTTTTTTTTTTAACAATTTATGAACTTCCTCCTTCTCACCATGTGTTTATATGCCACAACCAAATGTTAGTTAGAAAGATAAACATATGTAAGTTTCAGATAGTTTCTCATCCATTTGTTGGGAGTGAGATTCTTCTTGATGCACTGAACATGTGCAGATCTCTCGTGTGGTTTTCAAAGGGTACATTCTGCACCCCTAATAATTGGCACAAGCTTTTTTCCACAGCTCGTCTTCCAAAACTATATCGCTTTGCAGGAGCACAGGCACCGTTTAGTTTTGCTGTGACTACCACCCTTCCAGTTTACCTCTGAACTGGACAGCTGCAATATATTGTATGCTTCATCAGCCCCTCTTTGTATTTCAGCGTGTTTTCCACAGACGGGAGGCCGTAGCCCTTTAACATGACACCGGAGAGTAGACGCTCTCATCCATGGGTCAGCCAATCAGCAGATAAAAACAAGATTATGTAGCCGCAGGTCACCCAGGACATAGTTCAGGTTAGTTCAGCTGACGGTGTCTTGTGTGCTTTGAGCTGTTGTCAAGCCTGTCAGTTTTCTTTATCCCAGGGCGGTGAAGATCAGGAAAGTAGACTGAGCCGTGATGCACTAAACTGCAATCAAGCTCTGCTTGCTTCGTTGCCGTTCTTCCTGAAATCTTTGTCAGAATGATCGGCTCACCTGAAACCACCGCAGCAGGTTTGGCGAACCGTATTTGTTTGCTGTGATTGGGTGGAACGCATCATCTGACATTCCTGTTATTCAGCTGCAGCTGAGCTGGAGGTGCCGTGTTGAATAGAAGGCACAGCGGTTTCACATTCTGGCATTCTGTGGAATATTTTGCCGGCTGCAGTGATTTATTGTGAAAAGCTGTAATCAGAGCTTGTCCGTGTTTTGACCTACAGCACAGAGGGCGGCAATGGACTGCCTCTTATTCTCTGTTTGTCTTTCCCTCCCACAGTTTTGTTGTTGATGCGTGGTTTGAAGAGAGGCGATGGATGTCCGCATGGTTCTGGGGGGTCCAGATAACATTCTCCTGGCCAATAATCCTGACACAGGAAGTGGTTGTTTGAAGCATCCCTGTGAGGACCAGGTAAGCATGGAGAAACTAGGGCCATACCAAGGAAAGCATCACTGTTATTGCTTATATATAGGCTTAGAGATTTGAACAAACTCCTAACCTTAAGTATTAAGGTTGTATTTGTCCTGTGCTGTTGGTGCTACAGACTTGATACCTTGAATAATGAGGCCTGTTGAGGGTAGTTTTTTATCTTGTGATCATATTTAAGTTTATAACCTAATTAACAGTAAAACAAGTCCCATAGATTTGCTGTAAAGGAGGGATTACATCAAGGGATTAAAATATTATTGAGACTTAAAGGGGTCAGGTCTATTTTGACTTGGGCCAGTAAGCAACCACACAGAACACCCTAGCAACCACTTAGCAATTCCCTGGAAACCACCCGCAACCATCACATTTGTAACATCACAATTCCAGAGGCCAAGATGGATTAAAATGGTTTAAAAATAAGGTAAAACAGCTAAAACCCAGTTTCTTTCTTTCCTTCTTTCTTTTTTTCTTCATATTTATTTATTTAATTTCTTACCTCAACAACCGTCATTTTTATTTATTTCCCACAGTCTTGGAAAACCTGGATAAATGAGGAAATTAAAAAAAAAAAGTAATTTCTGGAATTCTGAAATTGTTATTATTATTATTCTGAAATTATTATTATATAAAATATTTAATTTATTTTTTCAGTGTATTACCACTCTGTTGAATAAAATAATGTTTGAAAACAAGCAGCTTTGTCATTACAGCAGAAGAACCAGAAATGTCAGTTGAAAAAAAAATGAAAGACACTGTTTTACAGCTTTTATTTATATAGGTTAATATTTATTTTTAATATTTCAAGTTGTTTAAATTAACAAAGAACAATAGTATATTTAAAAAATAGCATTAACCTAGATTAATACATTCTGTAAAAAATTTGCTAATTGTTAGTTCATGATACCTAATACATAACTAATGTCAACAAATGGAACGTTTTTGGAAGGCTAGGTTAATGCAAGTTATCTTGTTGCAGTGATCTTTTGTAGAATAAACATTGTATTTCTCATGTAGGACAGAAGCTCCAACCCGTCTGTCCTTCGTTCTGTGACCACTACAGGGAAGGAGGGTCTGCTGAACAGGAAGAGACCATTTGTTGGAAGATGCTGTCACTCATGCACACCCCTGAGTCAGGTTAGTTTGTTGAAGCTTTTGGCATATTGACCGAATACACGTGTTTCCTAAGAAACATCTGTAGTTTGACTGTTACTACAATTATGTGTTCCAGGAGAGGCTGTTCAACCCCAGCATCCCTTCACTAGGGCTCCGTAATGTGATTTACATCAATGAAACGCACACAAGGTAAACATTATGGGTCTGAATAGATCACCAATTCTCTCATGATTTATCATGAGAACACTCACTGCACATTGCTTGGTTATGCACCTTGCTGTAAAGTATAATTCATTAACATAGTTTAGTTTGTGATACACGATTAATACCATAGTTGGTCAGATGTAGTTTCCCCGCCGTGTGTTTACATTCAAGTGTCAAATGGAAGGTTGGAGGTTTCTGTGAGGAGTGGAAAGTCAGGAAATAAATTATTAACACTGTTTGTCAGGGGATATTATGTACCTAGATCTCATGACAAGGACCAAAGGTGGTCTGAGCTGGTACAGCCAATCAGGGGAGGAAGTGGACACTGCGTAATACAGTACAAAAATTTGATATTGCCTTTCAGCAGTTATTGATATTAAACGAATGATTCTACCAAATGGCTGCAAAAATTACACAAAAAAAGCTACAAAGAGAACTCCTGAAAAAGAATCATTGAGTCACCCCACTCAGTCTGATGCATGAACGAATCATTCAGATGATTTCTGAACAGCTGGTTCAGTGAAAAAAAAAACAGTTGCAAAGAATGATTAATTCACAAATGATACTGATCCAGTTCTCGAGTTCAACTCACCGAATGTTTGATTTTTCAGAATTTCATGATTCCATCTTATTTCATGTTCCACAGAAGGAGCAGCATGAGAATGAGTAAATAATGACAGAATTTTAATGTTTGGGTGAAATGTTACTTTAAAGGGGACCTATTATGCAAAATTCACTTTTACATGGTGTTTGGACATAAATGTGTTGGTGGTGTTTGTACACAACCACCCTATAATAATACAAATCCACTCACTCCTTTTTTTTAATCCCCATAAATCATAAGCAGCAAGCCGTTTGCAGAATGTGTACAAAGTGACATCACATTGTACAGGCCCCACCCATGACTGTTGACGGACACTGCTGTATTAGCATAGACCCCGCCCTGAGTGAGGGCCTCCATGTTTATCTACTCGCTAGAGCATTTAACATCATTAGCATTCAAGTAAGAAATTAATTCTTATAATGCTACTCAAGTTATTCAGTCAGTGAGAGATTTTATGTTTTTGTTGTTTGATTCAAATTAACAGCATAGACAGCAGTAGGTATACGCTGCTGCCAGACAGATCTAATATAGGCTACACATGCGATTTCTTTGCCAGCTGTTTACGTTCACAGATAAATCTGACTGTATTTACGTAAACTTTGTGTTTTTGACATAACCTTGTGTGTATTTGACAGTTTAAGCGCAATAAGACGCAAAAGAGATCATAGTCTAGTACTTGCACGGTACGTTGCGCTGTCTGACAGCCGGCTTTCTGTGTGTGCGCTTCGGATGTGTGAGCTCAGAAAACCATAGCTGTGTCCGACTCGTTCACTCATTCACTAATCCCTATATGGTGTATGGCAGTTGAGTGCAATACATCATAAAGGAGTGAATGAAATGAAGTGAACGAATTCAGACACTGACGTATACACTGCGTGTCAGAGAGCTGGAGCTGGAGCAGAAACTAATATGTTATAAAAAATATTAATAACAATAACACTCACAATGACTTTATATTGTAATTATACATACCTCCGTGCCAGCTTTGTGTTTTCATTGATGGATATTATTAGGCCTAATTTGTTTTGTAATGCTTAATATGTTTATAATCATTAAATACTATTAAAATACTGGTAACAAAAATAAGCATATTACACATCCACATATAACATATACATTTTATGTATTTATTATTCTTAGTGTCTTGAAACTCTCCTGAGCAGCGTTTTGCGCTCCAATAAGATGACAATGGTCATAGAGCGCTCCTATTAATTTTACATTGATGAATATGCTACATACAGGTGATTAACAAATATATTTTTTTAAATCATCCACCAAATTATCATCACATCTCTGTCGTCTCTTGTAAGTTAAAAACAACGCAAACGCCGTAAATTAGTTAAAAATTAAACCAAATGCCTAAATAATATATTTTAATATTTATAATAGATGAAATAAACATTAAAGCAGAAATAGGAAAGATGTAAACTGCATCTCTCATTCAAACTCGCTTGCTCCCGGTATCTTTTCCAGCTCGTCAGTCCTCTCCGCATTGGATTATGAGAAATAGTGCTTCAGCGAGTGTACATCAATTGTACACTCGAAATCAGAGAGGATTGTGGGTAAAAAGTAGTGAACGAATGTAGGGAATGAACTCGTTCGCTCAGAATTCGGACAGCACTACAAAATGGCTGACACCCGATATAGTGCACTATATAGGGGATAGGGAGCGGTTTTGGACACAGCTCATACGTAAGATCTTTAAATTTACATGGCTTTAAAACGCAAATAATAAACTTTCATGATATCCTGCAGTGTCACGTGAGCGTGACCATGATAGACAGGATAATCAAGATCAAACAGATGTTTAGTTTTGGCAGAGTATGCGAGGCACAAGCTGTAAAGGCTCTTCTGGAAAAGGAGGTGGGGAGCAGCGGCTTATTTGACAAATGCGCGAAAACACCTTGTTTTAGCCTCTGGTAAAAAAAATTTAATTTTCAGCATGGAACAATAAATTATATGTTGGGTATTTTGAGCTGAAACGTCATAAATACATTCTAGGGACACCTGAGAGTTATGTTACATCTTGTAAAAAGGGGCATAATAGGTCCCCTTTAAGAACCATTTCAGTGAAACAGTCTGCTACTGTAGATTCTTTGTCATTAATACTCATTATACTTTCCATGCTCAACTATTTTGTATTTTGTATAATGCAGACACAGAGGTTGGCTTGCACGGAGGCTGAGTTATGTGCTGTTTGTCTTGGAGAGAGATGTCCGGAAGGACATGTTTGCTCGCAATGTGGTGGAGAACGTGCTCAACAGCAGCAGGTACCAAGTGTTTATAAAAGCAAGGAACAAGTGCAATGTAAAGCTCTGTTTCTAAGCAGCAGGAA